TTGCTCTGTAAAATTCTGCTGTGAAGCGCAAGACTTACAATCGACAATTGTCACTTGACATTTTTGTGAAGTGTACTGTCTGTCAGCACTGGACTTAATTTGGTTAAGTTGACAACAGTCTTTGTAAGTTTTACCCAAAAAAGGTCCAATGGCAACACGGCCAATGGTTTTCATACTTTTTTTTTATAATTTTTTTTTTTATTTTGCTGACACCCGTTATGCTCATAATCATTACTTTGTGTTTCCCCAAGTGAAAATTGTCAAATGATGATTTGTGCTCATGCAGTTGGAATACTGAACTTGATGTTTGAGATCGTTTGTAGCTAGTATTTTTGTAAGTGTAGGATCTCTTTGCACACTTAGCATCCTGGGCAAATGCAGTGGAACGCCACTATAACGGACATCGCGGGATCCACAGAAATTGTTCGTAATAGCGATCGTTCGGTATAGCGATTTTAAAGCTGCCGGTGCTCCGGTACTCGCTTTCCTGCTCGCCCTGGTAGTTACTGAAAGACGACTTTGAACACGTGCCGACTATTGAATCATGCAATTACATAGTTTTTTAGCTTACTACCTACACTGTACAGCAATGGGTGGCTTTCCCCTTCCATTCCTTGGGAAAATAACAGCCACTTGTCGCTCTTCTGTTGACATTTTTCAACAACAGTGTTCAGTACACGGGAGCCAAACACGATGTTTGGTATAGCCGAATGTTTGGTATAGCGGTGTTCGGTTTAGCGACATTCCACTGTAGTTCAATTTATTTGAAATTCAGCTGAACTACTTAGAACCTTTGCAACTTTTTATGCGCTTGTTTTCTTTGACACTAAAAGAAAGTAAGACAAACCAATGCATTATATACACACGCACGCTGTTTTGATTTAAAACCCAAGCACTTGGAAAATATGGGGGTCAGATATGTATGTTTTTTGCCTGTACAGTATTTTAATGTACAATAATTATCATAATGTAAATTTCTTTTATACAAAATAGAGTGCAAAACTGATGAGTACTTTTAAGTGAGCCAAAAAGACAATCAAAATCCATCCCCCCCCCCCCCATTTTGGGAAAGTGTGGCAGATAAGCCATGTGTAACAAGTCCATCAAAATCCAGGAGCACCAGTGGTGGATTTCAATGGATTTGGTCCTGAAGCATTATGGTGAAGCAGAGTCAGTGATGGATTTTGATGGACATGGTTTTCTACTTAGTAAAACTAAGTAGGGAGTTAGGATTTCTAAAAAAAAATGTAAAAAAAAAAAAGGTAACAAGATTGTGTTAGGTACCATTTGTTTTGCCATTTCTGGAAATGATTCTTGATAAAAATATTTTACAATCACAAAGATTTTATTTGAGACTTAGTAAATATTTTTTTTTATATATTGTAACTTATTTGAGAGTAAACTGGGCAATGATTGTAGCTCGCACATCTTGGTTTTTTTTTACTTTTATTGTTTTATTTTACCAGGGTAGCCCCATCAGTTATCTAAGAACTGTTCTCCCTGTGGGCCCTGGATGAACCTCTATAGTCAATTATTTTGTTGAACATTTGAAAAAAAAATACAAAGACAGTATAAAGGGTATGACAGCACAGCTCTTATAATCACATGGACATTGCCCCTAAAGGTTACAAAGTGTTAAACATTAACAGAACTCTTTACAATTTCTCCAACTTTTCACATGTACATCTTTTTAGGTTTTTGGTCAGTTTTAAAAATAACACTGATAACTAAGAAGATATATTAAGAGAATTTTTGTTTTACCTTTCAGTGTGTGTGTATATAAATTCACTGTTGGAAAGTACAGTTGCCTTATCTTTTTGGTCACACCTCTACTGCTAAAAAAATATTTTAAAAAGACTCCAAGGGTTAAGCACTGCTTAGGAGATAGAGACATTATATATAGCTCCTGTTACTTCTTATGTATATCACTTTTTGGTTGTATTTGGATTAGATGTATTTGGATTAGATGTATTTTTACTTTATTGTATATATATATTCGAACTAAGAACTCGGGCAGCTTGTTTTACAAAAGTGTCTAAATACTGATTTAAGAAAATGTTTATGAAGAAATGTACATGTATATAAAAGCTGAACAATTATATTTTGCAACCAGATTTTCCCCTAGCCCCATACCCAGATAGCATGGTGAGTTCATTTTAAGGCAAAGGTAATTCAACAGTTGAGATTATAGAACTAAAAAAACTTCACTTTTTTTTTATTTGTTGCACTGACAGTTTTAGAAAGGAAGAAAGGCAAAACGCATCCTTTCAATTTAATTTAAATGTCTTAAAGTAGAAACTTCTGAAGGCCTTAATTGTAATCACCTGCATATGCAAAACAAAATAGATTTAAAAAAATCATTTTTAGATTTGGGTAACTGTTTTATTGATACTCATTCACAAATAGTTACTACATTTGGTGTTTATTACTTGTTATATTTACTCAAGAATTACATTTTTTTTCTCACTTTACTTGTGTATAACCCTGAATTACCTCCCCAATTCACTGAAAACAAAATTATGGTAATATAATCACAAGTACGTGTATAATTTAATGTATATAGCGAAATATGTTTTGTACAGTTTTTACATGTCCAATTGAATTAAGTGCACACAGGACATGTACATTTACTCATTTGTATCGACGTCCGTAGGCCTACGTTATCACAAAAAGTGGAAATGTGGAATACGCTTTTGGGGTACCTCGGTGCTTGAGTCAAATGTACTGCGCTACGAGGAAATGTTACTCTCAAAAGAAGACTGGTTAAATATTAAACAAATAATCTAAATTGCCCAAATGCACTTCATAAATTGTTTGAAACTTCTTCAGAAACCATGTCGCAAGAATAAAACAAATCTTAGAAATACTAAGTTACAATTGACCTAAAATGTATTTATTGTATATTTGTAGAAAATATGATTTTATAAGCTTGTACTGTCATTTGACATTATTGAGGGCGTACTTTCTCAGTATTGCATTTTAACAAAATAAACGAATGGGCAGTATGCTGCTATATTTAGTTTTGTTGAGGTACGTGCACGTGTTGAAATGGGCGTTTGAGTTGTTGAAGTAAATGAATCTGTAATCGCTAATCCCATTTTTAGATGGATTACACTTCAGACTTGATGACTGTACTTCGTGCCGAAAACAAAATACTCATTTCGTGGCTGTAATGCTTATAAATCCCAGTTATTCCCAGAAGAAATTAATACATGTATAATTATATTTCAATGCTAAATCCCAAATATGCTATCATCACACTTAAAATAGCCAGGAGATTTTTTTTTTTAACTGGCAATGACCAGGAACATTTTACTTTCGCCCGCCACTTTTTCTTGCGAAAACGGAAGAAATGTATTGAGAATGCTGGTATACCCGCTCATATAATTTTTTTTAAATCTACGTGGGTCTCAGTACTGCGCGGTTATGCAGGCGGGTGCATACCTATCAGGGGTGTGAAATCTTTAAAGCTGATTTCAGCTTTTTTTGTTTTGGATTTCAGCTTTTTCCCCTCACTTGCTGTGAACAAAAGTATATGAAATTTCCAAAGTTCAGCTTTTTTACACCCTTTTCAGCTGTTTTCAGCTATTTTTATCAGTGGTCACTCACACCCCTGCCTATGTTCCCCAATACCGATGTTTCCCGAAATCCCTACCATATACCCTAGCCCTAACCCTAATCCTGAGGATTTCGGGGAACATCGGTAGTGGGGAACATCGGGTAGATACCATGCAGGCGGCATGTTTGCCTTTTGGTGCATGATTGAAGAAACCCGAATCCACATATCAAACTGTGAATTTTTTTTAAAGGAGATTCAGGGGAAGGGTGGTTGGGGTGGCGAACTCCTTCCCCCGCCCCCTCTCCCAAAATGTTTGATCCACCGCAAAAAAAAATGTGGAAGAAAAGAACTGACTTTCAGAAGTAACCTCCAGCAAGGGGCTCCGGGAGCCCCTTGCTGTCTAGTCGGAGTATCATCCGTTGGACAACGGATGATACTCCGACTAGACAGCGTATTAACGAATGGCGGGAAAAAAGATGGGTGACTCTCAGAAAATCCCCTCGGCAGCCCCCCCCCCCACCCCACCCACCCACAAAGATCAAACAAAATCATCCGTGACTCGACTCGAGGAAGGACTCACTTGGTAGGCCTACTTGGTACTTGGTGGTTATCCTCCTGAATACTCCACGTGGAAGTCTAACAAGGAGGCCTTTACCTTTACCTTGTGGATAATCATGACTAGTCTCTTTTTTTTATGGGGAATGTGAATTTATGGGGGAAAAATCCAAGTTCAAAATATCTTTTTTGGTTACTGAACTAGGATACTTCCAAAGCTCTTTAATGGAAGAAAATCTACCTTGAATTCCTCAAATTAAAGAAGTATTATATGTATAGCACATGTATTCAATTAGACCCACATTAAACGTATTATGTCGAGAATTGTTTTGAAAAAAATGCTGCAACGTTATTATATACTGAGTGGAATATTTACGAACGGATTACATTTTTTTAAAAATAATTTCATGGATTTGATTGGCTTAAAGGGGATAATTCCCTTGTGCCTGAGCAATGTGTTGGTAGCTACTTGGGAAAAAATAACGGAACTGACAAGCAGGCATGATGTGATTTTTTTTGCATGCGGCGCGGGTATATGTGGCGTAATACTAAGAAAAACACTATGACTGTTCGTATCGTACGCGAACCATATTATGATGTCGGCCATTTAAGAAGTAAATTCCGTTATTGCATCATTCCAGATGTGGCAATTGTGAAATATCGGCATTGTCATTGTCCTGCATGGTTCGATGTCAGGCGAGCGCGAGTTGTTCAATTTTTGGACCCCCCACTCGGATGTAGCTATGACGATCGTGTGAGCGGGGGTGTGACGAGGCCTAATGTTTGCCAATTGCCATTCACGAAATTCTGCGCATATAAACCTTTGGTCGGCGGTAAAATATGATTCGATTTTTATCGCAGTAATTTGTAAAAAGTCATTTCTGTTGCAAAAAAAAATTGCAGTCTGTAACGACAAGTCAAATTTCAACAAGCACTTCTACGTATCGGCTATCTTTTGTATGCAGATTACATCCGGAAGTGTTGACATTATGTTGACAGTGACGTCAACGCCCACAAATCCTGAGCGATGATTGGTCAATCGGGGACACACCTCCAAAATCCTCTTGTATCCGGGCCAGCTGTTGAACCGCAGACATACTGGTACCCGCGTTGTACGGTACGCATAGGCCGTGACGTGAGACCAACGCGGAGAGAATGCTATGCAATCGCCATGCAATCGCCATGCACATCGATCACTGAGCTTTCAGTCGACTAGTCCACGCAGCTGTAACGACACGAATCAGCTTTTTATCCCTGATATTTTGCTGTCAACACTCAAAGGACGGAGGAGGTAAATATCTTTGTGTATATGCTTGTACATAATTTTTCTAAAATCATTGATTTGTTGGAAAGAATGCAGTATGATCCAGCTTTTTCGACATTCGTAACGCGTAACGCATGATCTTGGCCTATCTAGCTAGTCAACCATGTTATTGTTAATGCTGGAGGACGGAATCCTAAACCATGACTTGCAAGTTGCAAGTTTCATATTGCCTAAGCAATGCGGATATACGGATCCTGCACAATATAGGAAGTGTGGTATTTAGATGCTGTTCTCAACCTGGGTATTCAAACGAAATTCATTGTTAGAAACTTAAAATTCATGAAATTGTGAAAATATTCTCTCTTTTTTGGTTAAACCTCCCCGACCCCAGTCCCTCATAAATTGTCATATTTTTCCTCTCTTGCTTAAAGTTAATTGTGCCTGCACTTCCTCTGGACATGTGCACGTAGTCCCAAAGTTTAAAAGTAGATTTTCGTTCTCTATAGGAACGGGGTCCGCAACTACAAAAACGCCATAAATGTGGCCTATTTACTGGACTACCTCCGTAAATAAAGACCACACTAGCAGATTTACTCACAACGTTAGCACTTGTTACCAAATTTATTTTCACATTCAGACTGCCGTGCATAGTTGATTTATGCTTTAAAAACACACTCATCTTGTAAATAACAAATAAAAATTGATGCGCAAGTGTTCAACTCTCCAGTTTTCGTGTCTTTTCCAGCTCCATTTGGAGGCTTCTTGGCAGCCGTTAAACTCAATTGCAACCATGTTCCAAATGAACAATGCTCTCGCGCAATACCTGATGGGATACATGGATCGTTCACCTGTCAGTCACGCGCCGCGCCGCATGCCTGATGGCTATTGTGTATGTAACAGTATCTAGAATGCAGCATGATAATGATAAACATTGAGCATTATCTTTTTGCAAGGTTTCTATCTATCTATCTATCTACGCGGGTACTCAGCAAAGTCCACTTCTGGATGTTAACGCTGAGGTGAAGTTTAAGGTGCATGTGAAGCTTCTCCCACTTTGCGGGGGAGGCTTTTTGCCGCATTGCTGATTTCTTGAACACATACACACACCTCTTCCGCTTTATTGTATACATGTAGCTGTGACTGTAAGGCCGAATAAAAAAAAAAACATGTTTCTCGTCCGGGTTTTCAAAAAAAAGGAGGAAGCGGGGCTTTTATTTTTTATTTGTTTCAAGATGGCCGCCATTTAAAATTTCCTGCAATTGTTGGTGTTTCCACTGTTCAAAGAAACTTTTAAAATGAAAGATAAGTTGGACAAGAGAACTGAACATATTTACAGTGTCATTTAGACTTGTATTGGTCTACAATTTATTTCCCGATGAATTTGTGGACTTTTTCGGTGTTTTTCAACTGCATTTTTCAAAAATAAAAAATAATAAAAAAATCCAGGCGGCCTCCAAAAAGGAAGCGGGCGGGCGGTTTCAATTCAACAAACAACCCCCCAAATTAACACATTGTTAGTTTATACAGATCTCAAATTAAGAAATTGTACAGATGATTGAATTGTTCTGGGAAAAAAAGTCTAATGTCTAAGTTGAATTTAGTGTTGAACCATGGATATCGTACTGTGATGATGACTGAATGCCAGATTTATTTGGTCTGTGTCTGGTTGTCTGTGTCTTATCCTAGAAATGTTGACTGTGAAGCTATGTGCACAATACAAGTCAGGGTCAGCACAGAATTGTTGGTCGATCCACTCATAATATATCATTTGCAGGAAGCTTCATCCACAGCTCAGTTAGATTTTTCCAATTTCTTAAAATGTACATGTACATGTATGACTCAAGCTCAAAAGCAGTAGTTTAGAATGTTGCCTTTTTGAAATCTTTCCCTGGACTTAAAGTTGTTGTGCATATAAATCACACTTATTCTGAAACCAGATTTAAACATCATCTGGCAAGAGCTACATGTATTGTAGATAGAACTACATGCTGATAATACCCTCTTAAATTATTAAACATTATTACGGGATACATGTATGTGGCTTGGAAAAGTCCCCTATATGAAATCACTATTTTGTGTTGTTTTTCATCACTATCAGTATCAGAAATGTGCCGGTACATGTCACAACACAATATTGAATTGTCAAATGGTGATTTCATCTAGGCAACATTTTCTGAATGGTGTTTGTATCCTTCAAGGGTATCATTTCTCACGGTCCCTGTTATCCACTGGTAAATGCACGCATACACATGCGGGTAGCAAAACTGCAACAGGTGAATTTGTTTCTGTTTGTCTAGATCCCATATTTGACACAGCTTAACTGACAGCTGTTTGCTAAAAAGTTAACATCCAACTATTCAGGTCATCCTTACAAGCGCAGCAAAACATTCAATATTTAATTGATAAAATACACAGGGCAATACAGGCAGATCTAAGCTATAAAAGCAGTATGGTGCTGGCAAACATACAGACTGTAACGTACATTGCAGTTGGCAGAATTGCAGCAGTTTATGAGCTGTACTGTTATTAGTTTGCTATCTTTTTATAATCAGCTATTTGTTCGTAAATGTGTGCAGATAATTGATAGGGATCTATAGTGCAAGGTTTAACAACAGTGATAGTGCAACAGGGATAGACAGACATGACATTTCTGCTGGCATGATGTACCGCCAACCTATGGCTAGTCTCGATTCCAAGACGTCTTTGTGGTGCGATGTTTCAGCGAGCATGGATTATTGGACTGTGCAGCGATTCACCGAAGCAGGCACCCGCAACACACACGCTAATAGCTACAGGCTGCAAAGGATGTCTTGGGAATTTCGTATTTCTGCTTGGGAAATTTCGGACAGAATTGTGTGTGCATAAATTTGCATATAGGCCTATGCGCTTGACGTAAGCATGTCCGGTTTACCATGCCTGTACAGCATGCAAGCGAGCTGTTGAATAAAAAAAGTCAACCATGTGGACGAGCAATCAATTTGGCAGCAAAGTAGGAAGGCTAAAAATCATTGCTCTCCATCAATTTGGACGTGGCCATGATTCAACAGAACTGGTAGAAATTGCACGTGTACTGTACGTCGCCTGACTAATAGTTTTCGTAACAGCTCTTTGTTTCCACCGATGCGCATGTGCTGCTATTTTACATGAAGTCACACACTGTTGCAATGCGAAATTCTCAAGACGTCCGAGTGGTTTGTGAATGTGAACATGTACATGCATGCTGTTTCACGGAATACAAAAGCTGTACCATCTATCGTGAACTACCCCGCTATAAGAACATCTTGCACCCAGACTAACTTATGGCAAGGCCAATTGTGGGAAGTCCATGGGCAGTGGGAGGGGGGGGGGGCCTCCCCCATCAGATATGAACCAAAAAAGGAGTGAGGGAATAAGATGTGAACATTGAAAATCAGTAGTGTTGTTGATTTACAAATTAAATAGATGCTGGAAAGGGGCTTAAAATGCTACCAAGCATACCAGTAGTAAATAATTTGAACAACACCTTTTAGAATTGTCCACAGCCAGAGATTTCTTGGTGCGCCACATGCTTATTCAGTACTTTGTCCTCCCTCTAGAAAAAAAATTCTGGTGATACCTGTGAGTGTGACCATGTCACTTGAGTTCTGTTGTGACTGTTATTCTTAAAGGGAATATACATCATTTGCTTTTGCTGTAATTTTTAGAAATGGATGGAATTGGGGGGTTGGAAATATAAAGCAAATATAGTTACACTGACTTTTTGGAGGTTTTGGGTTCGAAAATTCTATAAAAACCAAGAAAAACGATCATTTTCCTGTAGTCTGGTTCCCTGACTCCATATAAGAAGAAACAGAGCAGTTTACATACATTGGGGAATTGTAAGGTCAGGGAACCAGTCTAGCTGGCTCGTACCCGTTCATAGGTTTGTAATCGATTGCAAACAAGTGCAATGGTCAAGTGGGGCCAGTATTTGAAAAAAAAGCCAGTTGTTTCCAACGCTGATCGGCCGATCAGCGTTGGAAATTGATACAAAAATACCACTTTTCTTGAAAATGACAGTATACCAGGTGCCATAATTTTACAGGATGCTTAGACTGTCATTTACCAACATCCTGTTAAGGTATTTCGCAAAAACTTGGTAGTTTTATTTTTCGATGTTTGCAAATGTTGTATATTCCCTTTAAGTGCTTTTTAATCCGGGGCCACTGACCAATAAAAAAAAATGCAATTTATTTGTAAATAGAACATCAATAATGTGTATGGTTTTTTTTAATTCAACACCTGGTTTAAAGATTTATGATGCTTCTAGACACATACTAGCTTAAAATGCTTTTACAGAACACAGATGTACTTGAACTTTTATCCAGCAGCAAACTTTGGTCTGACTCACAAACGTGCAAAATTGTTCTGCCCGAAATGCATCACAGTGTGTGTGCATGAGTATTTAAAGTACGTGCAGTACGTGCAGCTACATGTACATGTATTGGAAATAATAGATAGTCAACTGAATGAGCAGGACTACTTGATGTCTTTGTTGAAAGGAAATGCAGCGATGCATGCATATTCTATACAAGTTAGAGTCGGGAAAGGATTTGAATAATTATGCAGGAATAGCAGTTGTTTTGCAACTATTCATCCAGAATAAGAATTCACAACATTAATTCCTCAGCAGTGGTTCATGCTTCATAAGCAACATGCGTTCTGTTGACTTACAGCACAATAATAAGCCTCTGTACTGATGATGTCACACTTAGTTTACATGTGTGCTTTCTTATGGGAGCCTGGTGGGGACGATGGTTTCGTAGCCGCATAAACAAAGTGTGAGGTCATCTGTACAGAGGCTTATAAAATCAACACATCTAAATTTTCACACTTTGGAGGGTGCCAGGCGGGTTGCCTGTTTTTCTGAAGGGTGCAGACCTGCAAATCAATCCCAATGGTAATTACGCATACTTCCAAAAATTATAACAAAAAAAAATACTCACAACTCTCTATGGTGTTTGAGACACTCATCAAATTATAGCTTGTTTCATCATCTTTCAGTTTCTGTTAAATTTTTTGGGGGTAATCTGATAACTTTTGGGAGAAATTGCCACCCGAAGATGACCACCCTCTAAATGATGCCTACACTCCGTTGCAAAATAGAGCCATTTTAACGACCCAATTCCAACCAAATTACAGAGAATTAAAAGCTTGATATCACTGGCACGGCTTCTGCCCTTCTTTTTTACAAACCTTCAAGTTCATGGCCCACAAAATGCTGTAAATAATAGCAAAGATTTTGAGGGTACACAAATTGTGATTTGGCTCACGTAGGCACCCTGAAGCCAGAAAACCAAAATACAAAATAGGCTTTGCTAAGCAGTACGTGATACATCATGACTGTGCTTTACTTATTATAGTGTAATATGTTGGACAAAATGCAAGAGCCATGTCATGTCTGCAGTGTGCCATAGTACTGTGGCTTTGTCTGGAAGTGGGCACAGTATGCATTACACAGCTGTAACTAATGTTCTATTGTGTGATATTGCGCACTCTCTGACCTGTACCAGGCTACTAGCTTTCACGTTATGATAACCCTTACCCTCAATCCTCCAAAATCCTCACTGTGGTTTAAAAAAGGGGGGACTCATTATGCCCACCTCAAAACGGTTGTTACCACCTGTCAATTTTCTGAAAATTTTGCTGGTATCCTCCATTTGAACATAAGTGCAAAGAGGCCCTAGGGGGTAAGGGTTCGCGCAGCAAGGCATTAACACAGCCGAAAGATGATGCAATTTGACCTGGGTCATGTATAATGCCATGGGACCGTCTACTCTTAGCCAATCTGCTCTGAACAACAATAATGATACACCATTGCAGCCAACTGCTGAACACACACGTGTGCAGTTAGTGAAACGGTGATTTTGACAGCACTATGGCATGTTGGGCTTCACATAAAAATGAACAGCATTTTTAATAAGGTTGAACTCTAAACAATATGACAAGTATAGACTTAATGCTTCCTGTCAATGGCCTTGCATGAATTGTGCAGATTATACAGCTAGTGCAAAGATACATGTATGCCTAGTGTACATTGTACATGTACATCACTACATGTATAGTTTAATAGCTGCACAGCCTTCCAAGTAATCTTGTTTTCTAATAAAAAAGGAAAATGACTCCCTGCAGGGCTAGTGCTGAGGCCAAAAACAAAAAATAGTTCTGCTTCTGATTACGTGGCATTTAAAAACAGGGTAGTACACATTTTGGGGGGCAATTTTTGATCGTATGTGTATGATCATATGGAGGTGTCTGCGTGTAGTCAAGGGTAAAAGGTAGTGATTGATGATTTTCAGGGTTTTTTCCTCATTTTTCCTCCCCCCAAAAATTAGGGTACTGTCAGAATACCCGGTAGGCTAGGTAGCCTGAAGCAGAACTATTATTTTTTGTGGCCTGATGTAATTAGCCTGTGATCAGTGTGATGCGAATGAACCATGGCGCGTTTACAGTGCATGCATGGCTAGATATGATATGATATGTAATTAAACATGGGCATCTTTGATATTTCTGATTCAGAACGTTCATCAGCCAAGCTTGGGGAAAGATATGAGTGCAACTTCAATGGCACGGACGGGGAGACATCAAAATTGCAGCGAGGAATTTGACCATACGAACTCTAGACAAAGTGATCAAAAGTCACAGGAATCAGAAAGTAATTGCCAGGAGAATAGTCGACAGTGAGCAGTTATCTTCATCAGTGTGACGGTGTACCTCATCTGTATATAGATTTTTACCTTTGTATATTTGGTAGGTAATACCCTTATTTTCATAATAATTCCTTCAAAGTTTGCTTCTTCTTTTTTTCTTTTTTATATGTATACTGATACTGACCATTCCTGTTTTCACTTTTTTTTTTCTTCTAAATTTCTGTAAATATTATTACTGTTACTCTTTTTTCAATCAATTAGGCCTATTAAAATCAAACGTTTAAATTTTTCTGCAAGATATACAGGTCCCGCAAAAAATCTAACGGTTGAATCGGGCATGTTTTCAGAAAAGTGGGGGTAGTATTCAAAATCGTATCTTATGTATTGCTGAGTAAAATAATTGGTCTTCCAAATGTTTTTTAGTTGGTCTCATTAGGATGTTTTGTTTAAAAGATACAGCAATCACAATACGGGACTTGAAAAACCACTTGGGCCACTTTTTTTATTTATATCTCCTGGTCTTCCAAAAAAATCCTTTGTCCTAATGATAAACTGATAAGCTGCACTAACACATTTGACCCATCTTTTGTGTGTTTCTCTAACTGCGCTTTCTCACTTTCAAGGAAAAGTGGCCCAAGACGATTTTCAACCCTTTGGTTCGATGAAGCATTGCGTTTGTTCCAATGCATCGATTTGAGTGAAATAAAGTTTGTATGGTAGATTAGACAAATCTGACTTTAAGAGGTAATTTGAAAATATTCCAAAACTCACATGCAATATACCTTTATTAAAAACCCTAACCCTCCCAAATCCTCCCAAATCCTCTTTGCAAAATGGAGGATTTTGCAGGATTGAGGTAACATGGCAAAATTGTGTTGTTGATTTCGCAGGATGCACTGTGTCAAGTTCTTGAGCCGGACCTTGTGTTGTTTATGCTCAGCCGTGCATACATTTAGGCCTAGATTATACTTGCAATCCTGCTCCAGGATGTCACTGGCTGTCAACTCTCAACAAATTGACAGTGATTGTCAGAGGATTTTGCAGGATTGAGGCAGTGGTCACCCCTCTAAGAACCACATTCAAGAAATAACAGAGGATTTTGCAGTATTGAGGCTATATTCTGTTTTTAAATGGAGGCAGTTGGAAGATTTTGCAGGATTGAGGTTACATCCTTGCAAAAGTGCCTAGGGAGTTAGGGTTAATTGGTTTTCGACTGTTAGGTCTTTGTGGGACAAGCTGTATGTATGTAAGCATTATTTTCTAACAGATTTATTCATAAAAATTTGACATCTCTTGAATCTAAAGAATAATCAAATATCCAGAAATATCATACATTTATGTAAAGCATTCTGCTCATTTCTAAACAGAAAAACTTATTCTAATATTAGCTAATGTCTTTCTTTTTACTCTGCAGGACAAAGCTTCGTGCCTGAAATCCGTGCAATACCAAACTTTTGTACCAGAAAATATAAATTTTGTGAGGCAATTTCTCATGCCTAGAAATATTGATCAGATTTGGGTCTTTTCTGAGCATATGTAAAATCCTGGTTGTTGTTTTTTTATAAGTGAAGGGAGCTTTGAGCGTATAATCTTTTTTTGAAATTTCAAAAATAAAACGGTTGGGTTTTTGTTTTGGGGTGTTATTCCTCAATCAAAATGGTTGGGTTTCAACCTACCGAGATACCACCCACATTGGGTATGAAATTTATCAGTGCCGGCCTGGCAGCATGTATTGCTGACGCAGGAACGTTTCCCTTGGACACAGCAAAAGTACGACTACAGGTGAGATTGTAAAAACATTGTCTTGCAGTTTGTTACATGGTATACAAATATAACATGGTCTGAGGGTGGACAGTCGATATTAGCTCCCGAGGTATTGGTAGTTGACAAAGAGGGAACTAGTTTGTCAACTTCCAATGTCAAGGGAAGCTAATATCGATTATCTACCCGAACTTAACCGTGTTTAATACATTTGTTTTACTATACCTCATACATATTCAGTTGCTGAATGTTCCCATTTCAGTACGCACCTCGTGGGCATAAAATCTTTGGAGAAACTTGTTCAGTTCTTTTGCAATACAGTAACTCCTGGAAAACGCTAATTAACATTATGTGTAGCCATCATATTTATGTAGCCAGCTAGGGCAAGGTTCGCACGTGCGTACACCCGTGCAACAGTTCCACGATTGCATTGTAATGCGCATACAAAGTAAACTGTCCCACAGATAACCCGTGCGACAGTCTACTACATAGGCGTATTTAACCATGTGTGAATACTCGCGTGTGCCCTTTTTAAACAGCAAAAATAGCATCCAGTACGTGATGGTGAATGGAGTGGACCCAGTGAGAATTGGCTCTTAATCACAAATATGTATGAGGTATAGTAATATGTGTATAACATAACTTAATGGGAATGGGAAATACTATTCAACAGTTAGGATAATTCTTGTTCCATGACAAAGTATTTGTGTGCAAATGCATGCTGGTGTGCGCATTTAACAATTGTTGACTGGTGTGATGTGGAATATGACATTTTGAAAACCCGAGGGGCGCATAGCACCTGAGACGAAGCCAAGGGTGCTATGCGCCCACGAAAACAAACAGCAGTAAACACAACAATCATGACAATGAACAACTGAACGTCAACTCACATGCATGTCGCGTGCTCGAAACAGCTTATAGTTTCCAAGTTCACTGCGTTTTACGTGTGAAACACGTATGTGTACGTACCGTACGCACAAAAGTCATAGCACACTCCCTGTGGGGATATCCACAGGGAGCGTGCTATGACTTTTTATAAACTAAACACATGATTGTTCTAGGTCAATGAAAATACAGTATTCAAGACAGAGGTATAACAATCAGTGTTGCGCGTAGCGCGTATTGTTCCGAAGAGCCAGCGCTATAGCGTTGGGTTCAAACATTTTCGTGAAGGGGTGGTGTGTAAGAGAGAAGTACAAGTCCCACCAATTTTGTATTGAAATAAAAGTTCAAATATATCAAATGACAAGGATCTGTATGTCAGTTATATAAAACAAATATTGACTGGCTTTAAATTGTGAAATGGGAGGAATTTTATCGCTCCGTAAAATCTGGACTTTCCAGTTCACTCAGCTTTCCCTTGTGAAATGGAAAAGTCTAGATTTTACCTTGCGATAATATTCCTTCCATTTTACTCTGAGCTGCTCAATATTTGTGTACTATGACCATCCTGCCTCTCACCTCCAAAATACACACAACATCTATTTTCACTGTACGTATGCATGTCCCACTCAATCCAACAAGTCAGGAAGAGATATATAATGCAACTCCCTCTCAACAAAAATTAAATCTTTTTATAATGACATTTTCTTTTTCTATGATTTTATAAGATTCAAGGTGAGAGTTCTTCGGCTCAGAAGCAGGGTTTCTCCTTTTCCAAAGCCAAAGAAGAGAAAGCTAAATTCAAGTACCGTGGAATCTTCGGCACTATCACCACCATCATACGACAGGAGGGGCCTCGCAGCCTGTACAACGGTCTGGTACCCGGACTGCAGCGGCAAATGTGCTTCGCATCGGTCCGGATCGGACTGTACGATTCAGTGAAGCAGTTGTACACAGGTAGACACTTCGGCAACTCCGGTGGGTTTATTCTAGTCCTTGTTCTCTGTCATCATTGCGCTTGATTTCCAACACCACGCTTTTCCAATACCACGCTTTTCCAATCATGGAGACATTGCCTCAGTGACCGACGGTGCAGTGATCCAAGCTTGAGTTCTGTGTGACCGATTTCCAAATCGAAATTGATGTGCCTGGTGATGCGTAATTCCTGTGCATTGGCTCCAAGATTCATATTGAAAGAACTGAAATTGATCTGTCAACATTACAGAAAATTGTAACTTAATCATCAGATGGCGTGCTTTGAGCATCTTTTTTTGTCTCCTGTAAATTAACGAGACATACTTTCAGCTATGCGTGTCTGAAGACATTGCGAAATCCATTGCTACAGAAAATGTCGGCTTGTAACATACATGTGTACATCCATTCATTTATGGAGACTCAAGAAAAAGGTCTTCGTTCATTAACCATACATATGTGTATCCACACATTTTCAGTGAATATGATATTTCATGCCAACCTCAACAACTAATCCACTGCTTAGAAAAAGTAAAAAATTATGTCGTATTGGAACTATGGAGGTAGTCAAGTTTATAATTGACCAATGACAGCGCATTGTGGTGAAGATATAGGATTTTGATAAACCTGTTTTTGTATTCTTGTGTTCAGCTATATTTTCAATTGAACTCTTTTTTTTTCTTTTCAGCACATTTTTCCAAGGAAGACACTTCAAATTGACAAATTTAATGGTCAGACAAGGGTACTTACAAAATGCCAAAGGTTTTAACATGAGAGTGAAATAAATGTAAATGAAACATGGCAAAAGAATCAACTTATTATTTAATTTTGGGAGATCTACTTGTATATTTCAAAAAGGGTATTTTGAAGTAAGAATACTAAATGCCAAAATAAACACCGCAACAAAAGAAAGTCCACACTCATTGGAGGGGTCACAATTTGAATCTGATCGTCTATGATAACGTCATTGATATAGACCTTTGGGAATGTTGTTAGCTACATTTTGATACCCCGTTTGCTACCAAGACTGTAAATCATTCAACACCAAAAACAACGGTTTATGAACATTGATGCAGTTTGAAAAGTCGAGTGGAAATTGCTGCGTGACAATGTGACACTGCCTGAAACGAACGGCAGGGAATATGAAACGCACCGTGCTTGTATGCATGGAAGCACGTGGAATTGTTGGGGCCATGTACAGTCGATAGGGGCCAATGGAATTACTGGCATGTTTTGTTTGGCGCTTAGCAATTTCTCCTCGTGTTTCTCTTAAA